AGGAAATAGAGTCCATCCATAAGGGGTGCTCTTATGACCCACTAAGGCAAAGCACAATAGTTTTAGTAATTACTGTAACCCTAGTATTCCCTGTATAAGTACACTTACTATGTACAATAAAAGAAGACACTCTATAGTATTTTCATACGCCTAGTCTTCTGCTAAAGTCAGACTAGGGTTTAGACTGTGGAATAGGGGGTTGCTCCAACACACTATGACAATCACCACCGACCAGTGATTCCAGTCGTGGTTCGTTTTTGAGATTTTCGCTTCCGCTTCACGAAGAACAAGTAAGTTCTCGTTTTACGATTTACGCGCTATCTAATGTGTTTAGGGAGAGGTAGGTCAAGACCCAACCTTATTTGAGATAATGGATCAAGAAGTACAAGGATCACTTCATTCGAGTGGGAAAATTTTAGCAGATGATGAATTAGTTTCTCATCAAAGACCTTTTTCATCATCAGATGCGAATGAAAGTAATCATTCTACACTTAGTGGAAGTGACAAATGGATCTTGTTCCAAGTGAGAGCGAGATGGTCACATATCTTGCTCCAAGTGAGAGCAGGATGAATGTTCTTGATCTGAGTGGGAGCAACATTGGCCAAATGGGAACAATGATGAATCACAAATAAGACATGGTTCTCGTAAAAAGATTCCTTACCAGCGATTTGACGTTGAAGGTGGTGAACTATTTATGATGCTCCTACAAGAAGAAAGCGTGCCTAAAAATGTAAAAGAGGCTCTCTCGTGCCCTTCTAAGGAGAAATAGACAAAAGCAATAGAAGATGAATTGGAGTCTATAAGAGTCAACAAAGTTTGGGAACTAGTTGACCACCCTAAAGGACGCAAAGAAATTGGGAGCAAATGGGTTCTCAAATTAAGCTCAAGGCCGATGGCACAGTTGAGAGATATAAGGCTCGACTTGTGGCGAAAGGGTATACACAGCAGAAAGGAATGGACTACGAAGAGACTTTCTCGCCTGCAGTACGATTTACCTATGTTCGCATGGTTCTAGCTATTATTGCAAGCTTGGATCTTGAATTACATCAGATGGATGTAAAGACTGCCTTTCTCAATGGAGAACTAGATGAAGAAATTTATATGGAATAACCCGAGTGTTTCATTAAAAAGGGCCACAAACTAAAGGTTTGTAGATTGAAGTATATTTATGGTCTCAAACAATCTTCAAGGTAGTGGTATATACGTTTTCAGAATGTTGTTGTATCCAGTGGTTTTACCATGATGGATGAAGACCATTGTGCTTAAACCAAAAGATCAAGGAACAAGCTTGTGATTTTAACATTGTATGTAGATGACATACTTATAGCAGGAAATAATAAGGAGTTTATCACCGAAATAAAGTCATGGTTGTCATCTCAATTTGAGATGAAAGATATGGGTGAAGCTGCATATATTCTTGGAGTTAAGATTTCAAGAGATCGTCCAAAGAAACTATTGTATCTCTCCCAATAGAATTACATTAGAAAAGTTCTTGGACGATTCAATATACAAAATAGTAGCCTAGTTGAAACTCCTATCAGTAAAGGCGTATCTTGGAAGTCAGATGTGTCCTAAGACTCCTGAAGCGACAGAAAGAATGAGTTGAGTTCCTTATAGAAGCGCAGTAGGAAGTCTAATGTGTGCTATGGTATGCGCTAGACCTGATATATGCCAAGCAGTTGGCTTAGTAAGTAGATATCAACCGACCCAGGTATAGCACATTGGCAAGCAGTAAAGAGGATCATGAGATATCTGAAGGGAACTGCTGATTATGCGCTTTGTTATCAAGGCGGCAAGGATCTGCAATTAGTTGGATACAGTGATGCTGATCATGGAGGAGATCTAGACGAAAGAAAGCCTACCTCAGGATGTATTTTCTTACTCAGTGATGGCACCATATCATGGAGTAGTAAGAACTAAGAAACAATCATGTGTATATCTACGATGGAAGCCGAATAGTGGCTCTCACATAGCAGCACAAGAAGTTGTTTGGTGGAAAAAGTTCTTGGAACACTTGTTGGATATTGATGAAAATACTGAATCAGTATTAGCATATTGTGACAGTGAGGCTGCAATATCCTCCAAGGACCATAAGTCTTATTGTAAAACCAAACATATAGATATCAAGTATATCTATGCGAGAGACATGGTTTGACGCAAGGTAGTGAATGTGAAGTATGTGTCTACAAAAGATATGTTAGCAGACCCATTGACCAAGCCTTTGTCTAGAGATACATTTGTGAGACACACTAGGTCTCAAGGCTTGCGTAGACTTTGATATTCTTCATTTTATTATTCATTTTCCCGTGTTCACAAAATCGATGTTCTTTGATTATCAATAAAGTTGATTTACATACATACATATTTATATTGTTTAATGTTATGTGCATTCTTTGTTCACTTTTTTATAAGTATGTTGGGTAGACAAGAGGTTGGCCTTCTCACACAGGCAACCGCCTCCTTATCTTAGTGATGTGAGGAGATGAGACATGATTTTAAGAAAAACTATCATAAGGATAATTTGAGAGCTATTCGCTTAAAATCAGAATATCACTTAAACAATGACATAAGATCATTAGGGTGAAAAATGTTCATCTAGTCTGCTTTGTGAGCCAGATGTGAGTTAAATATATACTTATGGTGTCTAAATATCATCTGTACAACATTCTTTATGAGATAAAGACACACGCTCCTTGAGAAAAAGGAAAAAATATTGTAGCATGTGTTTCATACTATGTGTGCTAATGTCGACCAATTGGGTTAACATAAGTCCATTCTCAACTTATTATTGTATGAGACCCAGAGCTTTTATGATGGCTAAAGATTTTGTACTCTTAGAGACTCCGATCAGATACTTAAGACTTAGTGCGATGTTAGCTATCTTAGTGTGTTTCCCAAAGACCACGTACACAGATTTGGTCTAGCGGAGCATATCTAGAAAAGCAATCAAACTAATGATAAGGAGATTGTGAGAAGAGGAAGATCATCGATGGAATCTCATTTATTTGTGTTTACTGATGCACCAGTTATAACTTATGAGTTATGATTGTGAATACAAGGAATAATGATATATGGGATTTTGAGATTATATCAAATGTGATTCATATGATCTAGGGTATTGCATACTTTATGATCTACTTGCAGGTTCGCACTCGACGAGAGGCTATATACTCCTAACAGATGTATAGCACTTAGCTCTCACAGTATGTTGTACGCACGGTCTACTTTCCTGTGTGAATGATTGAGGAGATGAGTTGAAAATATGTTTCTCAGACTAGATGAGCACTCCCATTATGTGAGTGGGAGATGTAGGAAATAGATTCCACCCATAAAGGGTGCTCTTAAGGCCCACTAGGGCAAAATACAGTAATTTTAGTAATTACTGTAACCCTAGTATTTCCTATATAAGTACACTTACTGTGTACAATAAAAGAAGACACTATGCAGTATTTTCCAACGCCTAGTCTTCTCCTAAAGTCAGACTAGGGTTTAGACTGTGAAATAGGGGATTGCTCCAACACACTGTGAAAACCACCACCGACCAGTGATTTTAGCCGCGATTCGTTTCAGATTTTCTCTTCCGCTTCATAAAGAACAAGTAAGTTCTCGTTTTATGATTTTTGCGCTATCTAATGTGTTTAGTTTATCATGTTCCTTCACTTACGAACTATTGTAGATGAATGCAAAACCCTAATTTTCAATGAACCCTTGATTTCTATTTGAAATACAATGTGATGGAAAAGGCAAAAAAGAATTACGGAACCCGAATTCTGCAATATCAGTGAAAATTCACTTTTAATGATTTGGCCCTTGTCTATCTTTTCGCAAGTCTCAGGATACGCGCTTTGCACGTATATCCTATAGTAATAAGTATAAAACTTTAAAAAATTAATAAAGTTATTAAATTATGTATATCTAACATGCAGTTATTAAGTTTTATTTCAAAATATTTTTAGAATTTCACGTTGAGTTATGAATATTGGGAATTCTAATATTTAGTTTTATTTATATTAATATTTTTCTTATTTGAATTGCGTAAAGTAATTATACTTTGATCACAAATTTGAATTATCATTTAATTCCTCTCTAAATAGATTCGTTTATTTGAGAAGTGTGGCAATAAAGATGGCTCCATTTAATTTTAGAAGGAAAAAAAATAGAGCTCATAACCCTTTTAAATTTGACTGGATATGTTTTTCACGAAAACAATATTACAGAAAACAAAAACGAATAGACATATTCGAAGTTGCAAAGCCATATACTAATTCTGCCTGGAATAAATCTCTAGTTATAAGAGCTCTAAAGACACATTTTTTTTCCTCTAAAGATACATTAATTATATTCTCACCTTACCGCATATAACACATAAAATAATGTTTATCTTTTCTATTTTGCGTTAATTATTTCTCGAATAAGGAATAGTTTATTTAAGGTAAAATTTTAATTAATTTTAAAGTCATAAATATTGTGACTTTTTATATAGTTCAAAAAAGAAAAAATTTAATAATTAAAATTTTACTAAATTTTATAATCATAAATATTAGAAAAATAACTAAATTACTACTATTTAATCCTATGTAAAATATATTTTCAAAGAATAAATAAACGAACGATATTTCGCTAAAGGATTTCGTACTTTTAATATAATATAAATATAAATATAAATATAGATCATTTGTCAGTCATGATTAGTGTTTTAAAAGGCGTTTCTGGGGCGAGCCCCAGGGCGAGGCATATTAAAAACGCCCCGGGGCGATGATGGGGGCGAAAGTCTCGTAAGGCGTACGCCCAGAAGTTCGGGGCGTACGCCCGGGCGAGTTTTTTGGTTAAGGCGTTAGCCCAAGAGACATCTTTTTAAAAAGGAATTAAAAACATTAAATTTAAAAGTAAACTTTTTAATATTGCTAAAAGCCCTAAATTAGAAGTCTTTTCCCATTCATTCTGCTAGTTTGCCTCTTCCAAGAGCAAGATTTATCACTTTTTTGCAACAAAAAATTCGTACATTAAATTCAACAGGTTTGTTCCTTCCTCCATATAAAATCTTTATTATTTTGAACTCATTACTTTCCTCTCTTTTTATATTTCACGGTTAGCTTGTAAATATGTATGTAATTAGTTTTTCAAGTTCAGTATTTCTCTTGCTCTTTCAAAATATAATATGGGATTATATGTGTGCGTGCTTCTATATGTATTGATTAGATTTATGAGCAAGTGGGTATGTTGATTGTTGAATAACTTTGATTTTTGTATATGGAAATTGGAATTTGATTGTTGTCGAGGAAAACATGGAATCTTTTTCAATTTATGTTTAATTATTTATCTTCATGAGTAGTCCACATTCTACAAAGTAAAAGATCCTTTTTTCATGTCTAAATCTTTAATTTTGCTTTACAAAATAAAAATGACAAAATTAAGATTTTTAACTCATTTTTGTGTAGTAGCAGGTGAACTCTTCAAAATCAAAACTTGCAGAAAATGGATGAAGGGGAGTCTGAAGATGTGAGCAAAAAAGATCCTGCCTGGAAGTATACAATCTCAAATCAGGAGGAAATTTTCTTTAGGTGTAGGTTTTGCACCCAAAAATGTACTGGCACTATCAACCGATTGAAACATCATTTAGCAGGTACTCATAAAGGAATGAAGCCTTGTCCCAAGGTTCCTGCTGATGTAGGAGAAGAATGTAAGAAAGCATTACTGGAGTTGAAAAATTCAAAAACTAGGCGAAATGCTACTATAGAAGAAATCTGAATTGCTGCAACTGGAGGAAGTAATATTGGTGGTGAGTCTGGTACCTCATCATGTAATAACGCTTTATCACCAAAGCCCAGAGGTCCCATAGATAATTTTATTAATTCTCAAGCTAGGCAAGCTACTTTGAATTCTAAATGGAAAAAAGAGGAAAGAAAATTAGTTTGTCAGCAGATTGGCCGATTTTTCTTCTCAAGTGGAATATCGTTTAATGTTGCAAACGATCCTTACTACTTGCCGATGTTTGAAGGAGTAGCAAACTTTGGGCCAGGTTTTCAGCCTCCAACAATGCATGAGCTAAGAACATGGATACTAAAAGAAGAGGTTGCCAACATTAACAGGAGGCTAGAAGAACACAAAAATTCATGCAAGCAATATGGTTGTTCTATAATGTCAGATAGTTGGTCGGATGAGAAAAGTAGATATTTTATCAACTTTCTTGTGAATAGCCCCTCAGGTACTTTTTTTTTTTTAAGATCTATTGATGCGTCTGATTCAATAAAAAGTGGTGAGATGCTTGCATCGCACTTGAATAAACTTGTAAATGATGGTGGGAAGGAAAGTGTAGTTCAAATGATAACTGATAATGGTTCGAATTTTTTCAATGCTGGAAAAAGAATAATAGAAACTCGACCTCATATTTATTAGACCCCATGTGCAGCACACTGTATTGATCTCATGTTAGAGGATATAGGTAAGTTGAAAATTTATCAAGAGATACTCAAAAGGGGGCGTAAGGCGGGGCGATTGATTATTTTGTATATCTATATTTACAAGTTATGTAATTCATCAAGAGTATCTGAGTCATAAGATACTGTGGGGTCAATTCAAAGATACGCAAACAATATTGGGATTTTTACCTAGCTATATTGTAATAGAAACCTATTTCCCACCTTTATTTAGATTCCTTATTAATTATTTTGTATATCTATATTTACAAGTTATGTACAAAATTATAAATAAAAAAAAATTCAAAATCCCTTAGTTTTAGTCCGTCAGTTACACGACACCCACTCCCATTTTCAATAACCCCCCTACACATAAGATTTCGTTTCTTTTCTAAAGGATGTCAAAAATATTTTCTCTCTTTCTTAATAATCACCCAAACTCTCTCTTTTATTTTTATACCCACCTCCCCAAATTTGTGATTATTTTCCTTTTCCAAAGGTTTNCCCCCCCCCCCCAAAAAAAATTATGATTTTTTTCCTTTTCCAAAGGTTTTCAAACCCAAATTCTGGCATTCTTACTAATCACTCAAAATCTATATTTCTTATTCGTACAATGCAGACGAAATTCAGAATATTGCTTTAGAATCAAATTGTGGGTAAGTTTTGAATCTTGTTTTCTTTCTTTCTAAAAATTTTATTGTATGTGACTTGTATATGATACATCAATACCCAAAACAATACTTGATGCAATACTAATATAATTATAATACGATTAAGTTAGATTTTTAGTGTATAGTTGTGATTGAAACTTGAAAAAGATGAAGATCATTTTTGTATCACATTTTTTTCAGAAATGTATCGCGATGTATTATAATTGTATATATATTATAATTGTTGAAGGGATTGTATTGCAAATGTATGATAATTGTATATTCATTATATATTGTTACGAGCAGTTGTGAGTTCGTGACGAATTTCACAGTTTGTATCACAAATATATGATAATTATGTATTAATTTATTGGTATTGTATCAGGTATTATTTTGGATATTAATGTACCATATACAAGTTAAATACAATTGTGATACAAGTATGATGCTATTATGTTTTAGGCATTGCTGTATCTGATAAAATTCAAATACAATTATGATACACTTATCATACAATTATTATACAATTCCTGAATATTTCTTCATTTTCAGAGTTGTCCAGTCTCCCAGCAAAAGAACGATGCAACTGATAATTTTTTAATAATATAAAGTTATCGGCAATAGTGGAAGAGAGAAAATAGAGATTCCGGGAGTAGATTAAGGGATATTGATGGGGGAAAAAGAAGGAGAGAGAAAAGGAGGGGGGAGGAAAGGATATAATTGAATCCCTTAATTGAAGGCACTAATAATAGGGTGTGAGCCTTTTAAGGAGCAATCTACACATTTTGTAAGAAAACCCTAGATATTATTAACAACTACAAAACATAGAGAACATATGTAAATAAGTTTCTAATATTTTATAACTAAATAAAAATCCCGACAATATTATATCAGCCTTTCCGACACAATCTTTGATTGGTCAGTGGGTTAGCTAGACATATTTCTTAATTTACAAGATAGTGGAAACCCAATATTTACGTAATTCACCTAGTTGTCCTTTAAACTTTTTATTTTGTGGAACACATGAATATTTAAATGTTAGCTTATACTATAACTATATCTTCTAAAAAGGTGGATTTGCTTAATTCTTTTAGAAATTTTCAAAATGTCCTATTGGTTACCTTTCATGCGATCGATAATCATTACCCACATATAACAAACTTCTGGCTAGCAAAAATAGATTCCCAAGAATTTGCGAATCAAATTTAAAATAAAATATCCCGTGTTTAGAACAGGAGCTAAGCCAAAAGTTAAGGAGGAGTTCCAAGCTTTTTACAGATTTGGCTAAAAAGTACTGGTAACAAAAATGTACATGTGCAAGTTTAAAGAGAAGTATTCAAGAATTTCGATCTACGTGTATGTGTTGGGCTGAATAATTTTCCACTACAAGGCCCATTAGTCAGATTAGTCAGTAGCTTTGATTCTTTATTATGTGGGCCCATTTTTGTATAGGACCCGGCCCAGTCCAATTTGTAACTAAGTCATTTTTGACTATATACTTTCAGATGCTTCGAGAATGGGACAGAACAATAATAAGAAAATATCTCTTTTCTCTCTTCTCTCTTTTCTCTCCCGATTTAGGGTTTCCCTTCAATTTAAGTTGCTTCGATTAACTCTGATAATGGAATCTAACATGGTATCAGAGCACTGTAATCGATCCGCCTCACTCAGAGCTTTCCTCCGATGGTAACCACCAAGTTTGGTTCGCTGATTTCGTTCAGATCGAAGAGTCTTCACTCACAACGTTCTGAAAATTTTTCGAAGCTTTGTCTGATCCTGATATTAGAAGACCTTAGCTACTTCAGGTGTGCGAAGGAGGGTAAAACTCTACTCTCTCATTCGCATGTGAAAACCTAGGTAAAATTAGGATTTTGTTCTAGTTGTGAAATTTGGGCTTCTATTATAATTTTCCTACAACGTGTTAGTCTAAAGATTTATCATTGTGTATGAATATGGGGAGTCTCTCATCTACTGCTGATGGTTTTGTCGAGCTCACTTTAGACTCGTCTCGCCTGTTCTATGTTCATCCCTCTGATAGCCCTGGAAGTCAATTAGTTGTTATACCGTTCAATGGAACTGATTTTGTTCACTAGCGTAGTAGTATGCTTACTTCCTTGTCTGCCAAGAACAAATTAGGAATAGTGACGGGTAAAGTAGCTCAACCTCTACCTAATTCTCCCTATTATCCCTTCTACGAATGATGTAATAATATGGTGAAGGTTTGGATCACCAATTCATTGATTAGGGAGATTGCAGTGAGTGTCATGTGTCTCAACATTGCTAGAGAAGTGTGGAGTGACATAAATGAGAGGTTTGGACAATCCAATGGATCTAAATACATTTAAATCCAGAGGAAAATCAGTTCTATCTCCCAAGGGTCTTATGATATTGCCACTTATTTTACCAGAATGAGGGCTTTATGGGATGAATTGAACTCTACTTATGTTGGTCATACATGCTCTTGTGGAGCATTACCCAAATTCATTGAAGACTAACATTTTGTTCAATTCATAAGTGGACTGAATGAGTCATATTCCACAGTTAAGAGTAGCATCATACTTATATCTCCACTTCCTTCAATTAGCAAGGCATATTCTTTTCTTCAACATGATGAAAGCCAAAAAGAAAACCAACCTCCAAATTTGGGTTTCTCTGGTGATTCAGCTTCCTTTTCTGCTAATTCATCCAACTCCAATCTTCCTAGAAACCACCAACATAATGCAAAGTCTTTCAATCAAAGAATCAGTTTTGATCAAACAAGGAAATCTTCTTCTGTGTCTTGCAAATACTGCAAGAAACCTGGGCACACAATAGACAAATGTTATAGGCTTCATGGTTTTCCCAATGACTTCAAGTTTACTAAGAAAAAAAGGTATGCTTCATGTGCACAAGTGGAAGATAATACTGCTCAAGTGGTTCCTCCAAATGAAACCACAACTTATGGTTTCAGCAAAGAGCAATATCAGCACCTCATGTCCCTGTTTCAGCAGGCTCTCATATCTACTGGCAATCATCCTTCCAATTTTGATGACAACATTGCCTATGCCAACTTTGCAAGTGTGTGTCACCTACCTGTAGATCTGTTGCCTGTAGTTAATTCTGATGTTCAATGTTTGTCTGCTCAGTTAGGAATGATACCTTGGATATTTGATTCAGGTGCAACTAATCATATGACCTCTAATAAATAATTCCTACACAACTTACAACCTTTACCTAAACCTTACTTAATAACTCTACCAAATGAATATAAAGTTAAAGTAATTTCTATTGGGTCATTACAACTTAGAACAGACATTATCCTGCACAATGTACTGTTGGTTCCTTCTTTCCAATTCAATCTTATTTCTGTATATCAACTTCTTTATCAATTACAATGCTTAGCATTATTCAGTAGTTATTCTTGTTTTCTATAGGGCCCTTCTCTAAAAAGGCCACTGAAAATTGGTAGAGCTTCTCATGGGTTGTACTTTCTGCTCCCTGACATGCCTGAATGTTCATCTTATGTTTCCATTAATCCATCTGGTAATGCATGTAATGTTTCTAATACATGTAATGTTTCCAATTCGGTTATCCCTTCCCTCAGTCCCCCTTGTACTTCTCCTACCAATGTTAATAAAATGGAATTATTTTGGCATCAAAGATTAGGTCACATGCCTCTTCATAAGATGAAATCAATTTCAGCTTTATCTGACATTATTCCCTCTAAACAGTCTTTCTCATGTTCTATTTGTCCTATGGCTAGACAACAAAGACTTCCTTTTTCTGAAAGTCATATCAAATCTACTGCTCATTTCCAACTAGTTCACCTAGACCTCTGGGGTCCTTATCATACCAAAACATATAATGGTTTTACACATTTTCTTACCATTGTTGATGATTTCTCTAGAGTAACATGGACCCATTTATTAACATGTAAAAGCAATGCTTTTACAATCATTAAAGCCTTCACTAAAATGGTTCAAACTCATTTTCACTCATCTGTTCAAACATTCAGAGCATATAATGCTTTTGAACAAGTGGGAGTTCTGAAGCAAAATTCTTCTTCTCTGAAAATGGGATCCTTCACCAAACTACCATTCCTCACACACCACAACAGAATGGAGTGGTTGAAAGAAAACACAAATATCTTTTGGAAACCTCTAGAGCCCTGCTCTTTCAATCTCATCTTCCTGTTAAATACTGGGGTGAATGTGTGTTGACTGCAACTTATCTAATAAATAGGATGCCTTCCTCTATCCTAGACAACATCTCTCCCTTCCAAAGACTTTATGGTATTCCCCCTTCTTATGATCACCTCAAATCATTTGGATGTTTATGTTTTGCCACTACCCCCAAGCCTAACAGGGATAAATTTCAGTCTAAAGCTATCAAATATGTATTTTTAGGCTATCTTTGTGGTAAAAGGGGATATAAACTACTTAATCTCACCATCATTCCATCTTCTTTTTCTAGAGATGTTGTGTTTCATGAGCACATCTTCCCTTATTCTTCTCTCTCTCCTCCTGTCCAGCCCTTTCCTTCTTTTCCTTTTAAGGACAATATATCTTCCTCATCATCACTTCCTTCCCCTCCTCCAGTCTTTCCTTCAGCACCTTCTTCTCCTTCTTCTCCTCTTATTTCTCCTCTTTCCTCTATGTCTAATTCTCTTCACTCCAATTCTTCTATACCACTTCCTTTGCCACCTTCTCCTCCTCTTAGAAATTCTACTAGGGTATGTCATACTCCTCTTTACCTCAAAGATTATGTTTTTTCTTAAGACATTACCAAACCTGATTCTGACACCCCCAAGGTCTCTCCTACTGAGTTGCATATGCAAGAACCTCTTTCTTACCAACATGCTGCATCTCATTCTTCTTGGCAAAAGGCTATGCTATAGGAATTTAAGGCTCTAGATGCAAACCATACCTCGAAAATTGTTCCTCTTCCTCCTAACAAGAAGCATATTCCATGTAAGTGGGTTTATAAAATCAAACAAAAGTTTGATGGTTCTATTGAAAGATATAAATCCAGGTCGGTCATTAGAGGTGGCACTCAAAATGAGGGAATTGACTATAATGAGACCTTTTCTTCTGTTGTCAAGTTCACCACCATCAAGTGCCTCCTTTCTCTTGCTGCCAAGAGGGACTGGACTGTGTATCAACCTGATGTGAATAATACTTTTCTTCATGGTGATCTCCATGAAGAGGTTTACATGAAACCTCCACCTGGTCTTCAGATTTCTACCCTCATGGCTTATGGTTCTTCACCTTTGGTTTGCAAGCTCCTCAAGTCTCTCTGTGGCCTCAAACAAGCTTCCAGACAGTGGTTTTCTAAACTGTCTGAAGCCCTGTTCTCAAGGGGCTACATTTCTAGTAAGAATGATTACTCACTCTTCACAAGTCCTCTCATTCTTCTCATACTGTCATTGTTATTTATGTTGATGATATATTACTTACTGGGGATGATGTGACTGAGCTTGACAGTTTGAAATCTTTCTTGGACTCCCAGTTCAAGATTAAGGACCTAGGGTCTGTCCATTATTTTTTGGGTCTTGAAGTTCTCAAGACTCCTCAAGGGTATTTGGTTAGTCAGCACAAGTTTGCCTCTGATCTATTGAATGAATTCAACTGTCATCACTTCACTTCAGTGGTCATACCTCTTGAGTCTTCTGTCAAGCTCACTCCTAATTTGGGACAACCCCTTACTGATTCCAGCCTCTACAGACGACTGGTGGGGAAATTAAATTTTCTACAGCACATTCGCCTTGATATTGTTTTTTCTATCCAGCATTTAAGCCAATTTCTTCAGGCTCCTCAGGTTCCCCATATGTTAGTTGCCCTCCATGTTCTTGGGTACTTGTTAAATGATCCTAGACATGGTATTCTTCTATCCAGTACTTCTGATACTTCTCTTGTGGCCTATGTTGACTCTAATTGGGCTGTTTGTACCCAGTCTCGCAAGTCTATCACTGGTTTCTTCATTAACTTTGGTGGGTACCCCATTTCTTGGAAATGCAAGAAGCAACCTACTATTTCTCTTTCCTCTGCTGAAGCTGAGTACAGAGTTTTGAGGAAAGTTGTAGCTGAGGTCTCTTGGTTGGTTCGCTTATTTGGTGACCTGGGCTTGGTCTTCTCCTCCCCTATTCAGGTCTATTGTGATAGCCAGGTTGCTTTGCATATCGCCAAGAACCTTATTTTCCATGAAAGGACCAAGCACATTGATATTGACTGCCACTTTGTTCGTGATTGTTTGCAGTTTGGTTTGATCTCTCTCCATCATATTTCTACTGCTGATCAGCCTGCTGACATTTTAACCAAGTCTCTTGCAGGCCCTCTTCATTATCATTTGCTTGGCAAGCTTGGAGTGGCTTCCCCCTCCAGCTTGAGGAAGGNNNNTTTTTTTATTTAATTAGTTTAGAATAAAATATTTTTAGATTTAATTCTTGTTTAGATAATTGGGATAGTCTAATTTAGTTAATAGTTAATCATAAGTCCTCGTGGGTTCGACATCCGACTTTTAGTCACTTTATTACTTGACAACCGCGTATACTTGCGTGAGTGTGTTTGGCCGTAACAGACCCAGCCTAGTCCAATTTGTAACTAAGTCATTTTTTACTATATACTTTCAGATGCTTCGAGAATGGGACAAAACAATAATAAGAAAATATCTCTTTTCTCTATTTTCTCTTTTCTCTTTTCTCTCCCGATTTAGGGTTTTTCTTCAATTTAAGTTGCTTCGATTAACTCTAATAATGGAATCTAACAGTATGGCCCATGAAAAACAGTACTACACATAGATTTTGGTCTAGGGGATTAAAAAACGTAAGACGTAGTTCGTAGGGTAATAGAATTAAATACCTCATAGCATAGATGTGCAGGTTACAAACTGAGCCAAGTTTAGAAGGAGTTTTATGCAATAAGCCAAATTAAAATCCTTAAAATAATAACGTGGAACTGGCAAAGAACCTAAAAGTTCAAAGCGTATCTCTCTAGAACAAGTCTAACGCCAATTGGGAGTGGTTATTATTTTATCTAATTGTTAACTTAGTTCCCCATAATATTGCTTGCACGATTGTACAATTTATTTCTTAACATATATTAGGCGTTTTTCTTCATCTTGATGACAAGTTTAAATTTGATTATCTAGCAAAGAGTACTGATCAAGTTATTGAGAATAATATGATTGAAATGATGATAATTAATTAAAAAATAAATGAGAGTAACAGGATATACTTACTCCAAGAAACCAATCTCGTACAAGCAAGGCGTACAAAGTCCAAACTCCACCATTTAAGAAAAAGAAAAGTGAGAGAAGGAATGGCATGTACTCAACGCTCTTTGTTGTCACCACTGTTTTCTGCCAAAACCAATATTATCCCAAATTGATATTTAACTTCAATTTTAAGGTAGATATCCCACATGCATAAGTGGTTGAGTTAGTTAATCAGAAACAAAAAACAAAGAGTTTATATCTAAACGCAAGGCATGAGTCTGGCATCTTTGCTATACTTGGAACATATATAATTTTACGTAAGAAAAAAGATTTGTATTGCTTTTGCGTATGGTTTACTAATATTACAAGAATCTTTATTAAATTAAAGGAAAAGGGGCTTACCACCACGCTAAGAGGGGAACTATACATGACAATATTTAGAGCTGAGCACAAGAAACCAATAACATCAATTCTCATCTCCCCATGAGATCCAAAATGTGCCAACAGAATAGCTGTCGCTGAAAACACCACATTTAAAACCACAACTAGTACCGCAGTCTTTAACTGTAAAAAAGTTAGGAAAGAATAAACAAAAATAGAAGCACATATCAGTTCAACTAAAAAAGTTAATTTGGCTTTTAAATCTTAACTAGTATATGATAGGATGTTGATATTTCTCTATAACAATTCAGTACAGGATGTTGTATAAGAATAGTATTGAATAGGGTGTATTGGTAATGATGAAATTAGTAATGCTGAGATTAGTTATGCTTGATTTATTTCTTATCCACTGTTTGATTTGTTATATTAAAAATAACAGGCATTGCATAGGGGGTATACATGCTTATCCATAAATTTAAAAACCATGGTATTACTAATACTATGGTTTACAATGTATTAATTATACATAAAATAATATCAAATAGGATACATCCTACCAACGAGTCCTAAGAGTTACTAAATATCAAGAACTATCAGAATTTTTGTTAAGTCTAGGAAGTGTGTGACGCTGGCTAATTTATAATTGTGAGCTTTAGTGAATATTTCAAAGAAAAGGACAGAAGGGAAATATTTTCTGGACCCACTTTTCTGCTCTCCTAAATGTAACACCGCTATATTCGATAAATTGCTGCATGTGCATCTTAGTTTTGTAATTCTACTTCCACACTTATTGGAAACTCATGAATTGATTTTCTTTCCCAGATTAACAACTGAATAATATTCAGGCGTTAATTTTGAATGCATTTGAAGAAAATTTTATGGTTATGGTTTGTGGGAGAAGCAGCAAAACAGTGAGTTGACTTATACTAAAAGTTAACAGGAAAAAGAGTACTACGTAGTTACAAAAATAGAGGCATTCTTTTGAATAAATTGCAAAAGTTATCTATATTTCGGGTAAGTTTTTGAATGAATGGTGCAAAAATGAAAATTTATTTACTAAGAAGATTAACAATAAAATAGTTTAGGACTTACTCTCATCTTTGGAGGAGCAAATAGAAGGAACAAGGACACGTATATAATCTCAACGGCGACTCCAAAACCATTGGTAGTGGATACAAGAAAACTCCCTGGCTTTATAATTCCATAGTAAGTCCACAACGATGAACTTAGCAGTGTACAAATGTATGGAAGGCTATCAAATTCCTCAGTCGATTGATTCTTCACTATCCTAATGAATGTCCCTCTGCATTATGTATATATGTATCATTTCAAATTAAAATGTATCACACACAACTTATTAAATCAAAGGATCCTCAATCCATGCAAAAGAGCAACTATATATTGGTAGCAATATTTTCTTTCTTGTTTGATTGGTTACTTACACCGGAGAAAGAAACATGAGAACTGAGATGATGTTGCCTGAAAAGATCAAGAACATATATACATATTTCAACACTAAGATTTTTTTGATATCCCAAATTTCTTAAAGGAGGAACGGTTTGCCAAAAACAATCGAAGTGCTATTACCTATCACTCCGATGACAAGAGCTACGATTTCCATGTTGACGGCCGAAGGAGGGGAAAGAAGAATGACTTGAAGAGAAGAGAAAGAGAAACTTGTAGCTAAAAGTACTTTTCTGCCTTTCTCAAGTTAAGTAGCTTGGGAATATGAAATGACATTTTTCGGAAGCACCATTTGACAATATACTAATTAAATACGGGACTTTAAATTTAAAAAGAAAAAGATGTTATATTTATGACAAAGGTTGAAAGGAACTAATATATTTTTTGTTCATTTCCGAGATTAAAAGATTGAAAAGTCATTTTCACGTTACAATTCAACTTGCCACTTATCAAGTGTGTTTGGCATGTAAAATTCTTTATTACTCCCTTCATTTTAATTTATCTAGACAAAGTTTGAGTTGCACAGAGTTTAAAAAAGAAATAAAATTTTTTGAATTTAATATCATAAATATTTCATAATATTTGTGTAGTTATAAGATGTTCGAAACTTATGATCTTAAATAATTCATATTATTTGTGCGACTATAAAAACTTAACACTAAGGTTAAAATTAAAAGCTTAAATTAAATTATTTTTAAATTTAATAAAATTTTGAACAAATTAAAAAAAAGAAATATTATCATATAACTGAAATGAAGGGAGTAGATAATAATCGTGGAACAAGTGATAAATTTATTGAAGTCCACGTATTGCCACCAAAGAATGTAGTGTAGTGGATGGGATTGTTCTTTCCTCAATCAGAAGTTTAGGGTTCGAACTTTGAGTATGAAAAAATTCTTAAGGCCTTATGTGGCACGAATTTGAATATAGTTGGATTTCAATTCTGATGAAACCAAACAAAAAAAGTCCACATATCGGATATGAACTCCCAATTACATTTTGTCATCGTGAATCATGTGCACTTAGCTTGTAGACCAATGCTTGTACTTACCACTTTCTTGTCTATGCGCCCTTCCATTCTAAACCTTTTTTTTTTCTTGTCTTTGGCGGTGGGAGACGGCTAGGATGAAGTTTGATTTTCTTATGTTAAATATCTACGACTACTAATATATATCTACTAGTACTTCCTCTATCTCATTTTCTATGACATTAATTGATTAGAAATTTAGTTTAAGAAATAAAACTAAAACTTGTTATCTAAAAATAAATCATAAAAATATATGGCTATAAATCATCTTATTAGGATAATTCCTAAAGTTAAATTATTTCTAAATATAAAAAGGTATTTTTTTTTTGCACAAACTAAAAAAAATACATCACTAGGGATGGACATTTGGGTAGTTCGGATTGAATATAAAAATTCCACTTTGGATTTTCAAATTTTAGAATGAAGAAAAATTCAATCCTCTCACGATCCCAATTTTTCTCTGTAGGATGTCGCGATGGCACCTAGTCTTTAAGAGTAAGTAAGACTAACAAACATGCGGAATATAACTGAAATAACAAATAAACTCTCAAATACTCAATAATTTTTAATAAAGAAAACTCCCTAACTCAATATATACAATTTCTCCAAAACCTGGTGATATCGAGTCACAAGCTCTACAACGGTATCATAGTCATCCCTATATAACTGTATCTAATAACAGAAGGAAAATATAGAAATAGATAGAGGGTGACTCCGAGGCTTGCGGATGCCGGCAGGTGTACCTTGAAGTCTCCAAGTACGAATTCAACTCACTGATGCCTGGACTGGTAGGAGATACTTGGATCTGCACAAAAGATGTGCAGAAGCGTAGCATGAGTACACTATAACGGTATCTACTAAGTGCCAAGCCTAACCTCGGTAGAATAGTGACGAGGTCAGGTCAGGGCCCTACTGGAATAAATAAAAAACGGGACGAATAATTTAACGGTGCGATAATAATAACAATGGAAATGAAACAAGAAAGGAATATGCCAAATTAACTACATCGAATCAAGGAAAATAATGCATCACAGACGAAAACAAGAAATAATAAGTCAAGGAAACAAAACAACCAAACACAAGTGAAGTAATAGAGAAGTACCAACAAGAGTCACTACCGAGGTACCGCCTCATAGTCTCAAATCACAAGAATAATTCACAATCTTTCCTTATATCACCACGGGAGCCTTACATTAAGTTTTGAAAATTATTTTTCCAAAATAACCTCCCATGTTTTAGCCCACCTTATCACACCGCATGGCTTCTAGTAGTTTCCCTACTAACCATGTGTATCAAACCCACATTATCTCATCGCATGCCTTTCAACCCCAAAACCTTTTACCACCGCATGTGTATCAATATCACAACGTATCACAAATCGTACCTCAAGTGTCCAATATTACTACTTGCCAAAGAAAGCAATAATAACAGTGTTTTCACAATAAAGAGCTCATGACTCAACCACAACGTGCACAAGAGTCTCAATAATAACAATCGGAAGTGAATAACTCGACAGAATAGTATTTCACAACTTAACACTTTACCTCAATATGAATCATGGCATTTATAACTCAATACCAGTTTCATCAACAAGATATTCCAAGAGTAACAACTTCAAGTAACGAATTCATGGTTAAATAATGAATAAGGAATAGAGGAAACAACAGCAACTTCAACTAAACATGTAGGGCAATTAACAAGTAGGAGATAAGACAAGTAAAGTATGTGAAGATAGCCTAGATATGATGATTATAACATGTTAAGGTAACTTAATTAAGGCATAAAAGGAATCTACATAGCTAAAACATGTAATTTTTCACATTTAGCCCGTGCACACACTCGTCACCTTGCGTACATGGCTTTCACACATCACAGTTATCACAAACAACACCAATCCTAAGGAAAAACTCCCCCACACAAAGTTAGGCAAGACACTTACCTCAAAACACCTAACTCAATCCACTAGTAGGTCTTTCCCTCGATTATCTAACTGCGAAAGGCTCGAATCTAGCCAAAACAACTTCATACCATAAATATAAGGTATAGGAAACTATTTCGAATCATAAAGTTACGATCTTTACAAAGAAATAAAAAGTCAACTCGGACCTCGCGCATAGCGGGAGCTTAGTGCACCGGACTGCCCTTTAAAGAGTCAATCTGGGCCTGCATCTCGAAACCCGAGCAAAATTATAAAATCTGAACACCCATTTGATAATGAGTCCAACCATACAATAATTACTCAAATTCGACCTCAAATCGTCTTTCAAAACCCCCAAAATTTAGTCTAGAAAGTTTTCACAATTTTTCCCCAAATTTCCAACTCAAATCACTAATTAGATGATAAAAATAATAATAGGTTCATGAAATATAGTCCAACCCGGGTTAGAATCATTTACCACAATGATTTCCTTAAATAACTCTCGAAAACGCGCCTCACACCGAGCTCTCTAGGTCCAAATTAGGAAAAATGAGATGAAACCCACGTTTTGAAACTTAAATTCTGCTGGCCAGGTGCTCTTTTTCATAAACGCGAAAAGTGCCTCGCGTTCGCGAAGCACAAAATATGTTGCTGCCAAAATTCCTCTTACGTGAACGCGAGAACCCCCTGGCGAACGTGATGACCAAACGATCCCAAGTTTCACGAACGTGAAGCCTTATTCGCGAACGCATAGATCAAACACGTGAGGTCCCCCAGCCTGCCTCTTTTTTTCGCGAACGCGGCTCCCTGCCCGCGATCCCGATGCACAAACACAATGAACCTTCGTGAACGCGTAGAACAAAATTCACCTGCCTCCCATGTACCCTTCGCGAACGCGAGACCTCTCTCGCGAATGCGTATAAAGACACCACACACCAGAAAAATCTGCAGCTCTACAAGGCTTGACCCGCAATCAACCCGAAATTCACCCGAGGCCCCCGGGGCCTCAACCAAACATATCAACAAGTCCTAAAATATCATATAAACACGCTCGAAGCATAAAATCATATAAAAAAAAATACTAGAACCACGAATCGTGCATCGATTCAAGCCTAATGAACTTGTGAACTTTCAAATTTTCAAAACTAATACCGATTCATACCAAAACAACTCTGATTGACTATAAATTTTGTACACAATTCATAAATGACATGACAGACCTATTCCAACTTTCGGAATCAAAATTCGACCCCTATATCAATAAATTCAACTCCCGGTCAAACTTTTCAATCTTTCAAACCTTCAATTTTCTAACATTCGCCAATTCACTCCAAAACGACCTACGGACCTCCAAATCGGCATCCGAACATGCTTCTTAGTCCAAAATCACCATACGAAGCTATTGGAATCGTCAAAAATCCATTCCAGAGTCGTCTATATAAAAGTCAAACTACGGTCAACTCTATCAACTTAAGACTCCAACTTAGGGATTATGTGTCTCATTTCACTCCGAAGCTCACCCGAAACCAAAACCAAACACTCCGGCAAGTTACATATCAACAATATAACATAGAGGAGGCAATAAATAGGGGATCGGTGATGAAATAATCAAAATGACCGCCCGGGTCGTTACATTCTCCCCCTCTTAAAACAAACGTTCGTCCTCGAACGAGTATAGAGACATACCTGAAGTGGTGAAAAGATGAGTATAACGGCTACGCATATCATTCTCGGTCTCCCAAGTCGCCTCCTCGACTGGTTAACCCCTCCACTGAACCTTCACTGAAGCAATGTTCTTCAACCTCAACATTCGGACCTACTTGTCCAAAATGGCCACCGGCTCCTCAACATAAGACAAATCCTTGTCCAACTGGATTGAGCTGAAGTCTAACACAGGAGACGAATCGTCGAGATACTTCAGGAGCATGGAATACTAGATGAACTGCAACTAGACTAGGTGGCAGTGCAAGCTTGTAGGACACCTCTCTAATCCTCTCGAGAATCTCAAAAGGTCTGAAATACCTAGGTCTCAACTTGCCCTTCTTCCCGAACCTCATAACACCCTTAATGGGCAAAACCCAAAGTAAGACCTGCTCCCCAACCATGAATGCAACGTCGTGAACCTTTCGATCCGCATAACTCTTCTGTCTAGATTGGATTGTACGAAGTCGATCTTGAATTAATTTAATCTTTTCCAAAGCATCCTGAACCAAGTCTGTACCTAATAGCCTAGCCTCACCCAGCTCACACCAACCCACCAGAGACCGACACCGCCTCTCATACAAGGCCTCATACGGAGCCATCTGAATGCTCAACTGGTAGTTGTTTT